GATGAGCCGTGGTGAGACTGCTGCGGAGTCACGCGCAGGCCGGGATCCCTCGCGCCTTTGGAAACCTCTGTCCTTTGCTAGGGGTGGATGCAGTGGCAGAGAGGCTGTTTCCTGCGGCCCGCGTGAGGCTGAGGCACCAGCCCAGGGTTGGGCTGCACCCCGGTTTCTGGCTGTGCCAGGAGCCCTTCCCAGAGCTCCCTGGTCGGGCAGAGCCATTCCCGGAGCTCCCTGCTGGAGCCAGGAGCCGTTCCCGGAGCTCCCTGGTCAGGCCCAGCCCCGGTACCCGCTCATTCGCGGGCCGGCTTCTCCCTCGCGTGGAGCGTGGCGGTACCGCACCGGGGAAGCTCTCTCAAAGCGGCTTTTCCTGTGCTGCTCATGAGAAAAGAACAACCGTTATTGTGGGAAAGTTCCAGCCAGCCTCGTATCTGCTCAATTTGTTATATTTTACAAATTACCCTAAATGATTCACTGTGGAGCAGGGTGGGCCAGGAGCTGGGCGCGTTGTGCAGAGGGATCCGCACGTTTGAACAAGTGGGAGGCAATTTGTGACCATTGGTCCTTGCTCCGAGCTGGAAGTGGAGGCACCTGGTGACTCACATGGAGCCTCTTGGGGAGGGTGAAGTACCTCGAGTGGGTGCAGGCAGAATTTTAAAATGCCGTTTGATGGGGTTCTGCAGAGATAATGTAGCAAAACAGCTGTCATCCTTGAGTGGAAATTAAATATTGACCTGTGAAGTAAGTAAAGGAAAAGAGGACAGGAGATTTGATTGCTGAGTTAATTGGGCTCGTGGCGCTGTATGTACAGCACGTAGTCCCTGCTGTGCGATCTCTGCAGCCGTCGTCTGGTTTCCTGCCTTTTCCTGAGCGTCGCGGGATGAAGCCTGGATAATGTCAGGACTTTGATGCTTCCAGTAACCACTGGGAGAAACTGTCTGGCTTATGAGCCTTGCTCAGATGTTCAAGGTTAAATCATCAGGGTTTAGATCAGTAAGGTTTTCTCTCAGATCAGATCAGCAGGAGTGTGCTGCTGTCCTGGGGACGTACCAGCGAGTGTCCAGACCTTGTGATATCCTGGAGATTTTCCTGCCCAAAGTTAGCAGTGAGAGTCTGTGCTATGGGAGAGGGGAGGGGAGGACCTGGGCAGTGGAGGCTGCGAGCTGCTGGGAACGTCCTGCAGAGCCCTCAGTCTCCACTGACCCTGCCTGAGGATGGGTCTCCTGCCCCGGGTGACGTTTACAGCTTGATGCTGCTCCTGCTCGACTTGAACAAGCAGCTTCTCTGGAGCTGCCCTTCACATTGTGGTAGAGAGCAGGCAGGAATTGAATTTCCCTTCTGTGGGGAATTCTGAAAATAGCTTTGTCTGCTTCAGAGGAAAAAACGTAAATGCTGTCATGACATGACTGCGGTGACCTTCCGGAGGCTGCGGCGCCTCTCCTGACCGGCAGGACCCTGAATCCCCGCGTGCTGACGCGTCCGCGGCGCCGCTGTCCACGGGAGCTGCGGTTGGGGTGGGAGAGCCCTTCTTGCCCGAGCCCCAGGCTGTTCCCGGCAGCAGAGCAGAGGAGCCGAGTGCTGCTCACCGTGGGCTGACACCGCCATCAGCAGGGACAGCGCCTTGCCCAGAGGCTACAAGATGTGCGCCATGTGGTGGTGTCAGTGTGGTGACCCCCCGTCCGTGTCACACGGGCAGCTCCGCAAGGCCTGGGCCGCTCGGTCGCACCATAGCTGGTGCAGGAGGCCATGCAGGAGCTTGGAGGTTGCCGGGGTGCAGCGGTGGGAGCCGAGGGCGGAGGGAGGAGGCGGCGGGCCGGCGCGTTGCGCTGGAGCCCGGCCAGCGCTGTGCAACTTTAGCCAAGGCCGGAGTTTCCTCTCCCTGCCCCCATCCCCGCGTGTGATCCGAGCTGGTCTCTCCTCGCGCATCCTCGCGTTGCTTCCTCTCCCCGGTCTGCGTTTGCGGACGCCTCCGCAGGGCTGCTGCCGCCCAGGCGCCGCGTGTTCCCCTCTCATGGGATGTTGCTCCCAGCTGCGCCGGCTGTGTGAGCCCCGTGCCGGCCGCTGCCCAGGGCCGCGAGAGGAGCGTGGCTGCCTTGCTCTTAGCAGGGCGGCCTTGTCCCCATCGTGGCTGGCTTGCTCTTAGCCAGGGGGGCCTT